TGAGTGGGTTACCAGTCGCCATCCGCGGCCCGTGTTCCCCACCTTCGCATTTGTGCTCATACAAATCGACCAGTGTTGACGCATTCCAGAATTCGCACGCACGACCGAGAATCCGGTGACGTTTAGTCTTCAGCAGCGAGCGCTGAATGCATCGAAGCCCCCGACCAGTTTCCCCTGTGAAGACTCAGTAGTTATTGGTTGAGGTGGGTGGACCTTGTGTCGTCCATGACATCAGGCGGCTGCGCACCAACGAGTACTGTTGATTGGTGACACAATTCGGCGCGTGCTGTGGCCGGACTCCATTGAAATTTTTCACTTGTATCAGCAGCCTCTCTCCCCTTCCCGATTTTTCCTCTTTTTCTAACCAACCGCTTGAGGGGTGCTTCCTAAAGGGCAGGTTGTGTGGCGGAGGTGGCGGACTGCGCTGCTCTTGATGCCAGGTGAGACCGCGCGCGCGCACGAGCCCCGCAAGGTTGTTCTGGTCCTAGTCTGAAGTTTGGGTAGGCCTACATATTAATATTCCAATTCAACTGTATTTACACTGGAAACGCAAGTGTGTGAATGTCGCACACTTGTAGATGTGTGAGCATTCATTCGTACACTTATTCGTATTCGTACCCCCTAAGTGTACAAATAAATATTCATACACCTACAAGTTTGCGACATTTACACACTTGCGTTTCCAGTGTATGCGTAGACATTAAGAATTGACCGGGCACTTGTTCTTCTATCGCTTACTGCGTTCCCACAGTCTAAGGCGTGCTTGATCGTGTGTGGGTGGGGCTCTAGGACTGTGCGGGCATGAGAGGTTCCTCCATGGTGCGCGAGTGGTGCCCGTTTCGTCGCTCCTTGCCCGAATTTGTTGTCTATCTCTCTCGCTCCCCTCTTTCTCTTTCTCGTGGCCGCCCCATTGGAAGCGTTTGTGGCCTCTCGAGGCGTTTGTGGCCTCTCGAGTGGCCATGCGGCGGCGTAAGCCGCGGCGCGGTGGGCTCGCGTTGCGTCCTGTTTAGAGCGGCGGAGCTGTTCCAAGTATTCGAAGGGGGAGGGGAAGGGGGGAGGTGGAAAAGGGATGGCTGTTAGCGAAATGTGTGAATGGAGTAGTCGGGAAGTGGGGGAAACGGGG